TATAAAAGGCCCTTCTAATACAAAACTGAGGCTTGTTTCCTTAACTCCTCCTTGGCTCCGTCTTCTCCGTCTATCTTGTTCTCCTCCTTGGCTCCTTCATCTTCTCCTGGCAACAGAACCGCACCACCAGCAGGGGCAGCAACTGCTACTGCACCACCACCACCACCAGCTCCAACGTTCGTGATAAGATACTCAATGTCCGGTTGTTGGTGGAGCGTAGAAAAAGGATTAGTCAGTACGATTCGAGCTAAATTGACGAAGACTCATTTATGTATGTTGTCCACCATAATGAGGAGGAGGTAATGGTGGTGGTGCACGACCGTGAATCTCAACGGCGGCACAGAAATTTGGGATGAACTGTGCGAGGTTTGCTGCATTCGAACTGGTATGGAATTGAACCTGATTTAAATCGTTTCTTGATGATATGGGACCATGAAACTACTCTCCGTGATGAGTATTAGGGCCTGTAATGGAGTATGGCCGTCGGTGTTGGAGGGTTGGCCGGAATTGGTGTTGAAATCGTGCGTGAGGCTTGATTTTGAGCCCAAATTTCGTTTGATTTTGGAGGTGTTATGTCCCCTTTTTGGTATAGAATTGAAGAGTGAGATGATGACATGTTGACAATGTGAAATCCCGTGGTTTGTTCGGCGGTATACTGGATGAATTTGGAGTCGAAGGTGCTAGTGTAGTGGATGAATTTGGTTGCAATTCCCACTTGCCATTTAAACAAAAACCTTGCTGAATCATGGGAAAACAAATTCCAGTATTTTGAGGAAAAGAGGGTCACGTACTTGTAAAATGGAAAATGTTTTTCCTAAAAAATATCCTATCAAACAACCAAAAAGTTGGAAAATTGTGGGAAGTTTTCCATCTTGCCTGGAATTGAAGGCCTATCAAACAGGGCATAAGTGAATTTATACATGAAAGCAAATTGTAGCTAGTAGCAGTATACTAATAGGTAATCATTTACTAAGGACATTAAGTAGAAAAATGAAATTCGAAACAAGATTATAATTCTTAATAGATATAAAATAACATATA